TGATGTTCTGTCAACCAACCATGGTTGGACAGTGGTATCCTCGGCCCATTAGGGTTCAAATTTGGTGCTCGTATTATTCCTGCCGGATTAGTCTCTCAAAGGTGCTTATGGGGTAGGTTGTATGTGTCTGCGTTCATAGGAAGAAATGTATACGCGTATGTATGAGCGTTTACGTCTGTACTGTGTTGCAAATAAAAATGATTGATGTTCTCTGTGTTGTACCGGCAGGGAGTAGTGTGGGCAGAAAAAGGGAATTTGGAGGGAGGTGGTGATCCTTTGATTCACTGGTCAGTCCAGAAACCATGAAGGAACTCTTTCGTTCAGAGAATTTTCAAATAAATTTTGCAGAATTCTATAACAAAAAATTGCTTCTGCTAAATCTCAGGTACATGAATTTTTATTGTATAGGGTCAGTCAATTGTGCTTCACGCGAGGCCGAAAGGCAGGGACGGCGCGAGGAGGAACAGCGATGAGGCCGAAACGTGAATGAGTGCGAGCGCGCCCAAAACTTGACCGGTGTGGGCCGACCATCACTGCTTATAGGATTGCAACTCATAGGAATTTCTTTTAGAATTCATTTGTATTAGATTCGATAAGAAATTGGAGCATGCAAAAAAAAAGACACCGAATGTGATGTGTGTTCGAGTGATTTGCGTTAGTAGGTGCTTGACGGAGGCATTGGTGAAGTTGTCGATGTCCAAAGGCATCCAGCGCGACGATCTTCAACGGCAGCCCGACCTGGCTAGGTCACCGAGAAGAAAGCGTTAGAACACGGTCCTGAAGGGTGGCAAGCTCGTCATCATACCCGGACTTGTCGGGCAACAACATGGGTGATTTTTCTCAAGTTTTCTTTAGAGAATCTTGGTGATTGGTTTGGGACTGTGAGGCAACGATGTTGTCCCAATGTAGGAATACTATTCTCCTTGCTCGTCCCCGTTCCTTTATTGTGCTTATCGTTGGGGGAGGGCATGCGCTCCAGGATCCGGTTTGTTTAGATTTCCAGTTAATCCGCCAGGGTTCGATCATTGATCGTGGTCTTCCAAGTTTATGCATGTCTTTATCGGCATTTTCTTCTTGGGTTGTGATTTGCTTCACAAATCGTGATTGTCGGTGTCTCCTGGTTTGCATCAACGACTTTCCCAACCATTGCTTCTACTAGTTTCTAGGTTTAAAAAAATTGTTGCGTCGAAGCAGAGTCCTAGAGGCGACATCGAGATAACCTCATGGCACACCATCGGTGGATGCAAGAGAAAGAAAACTTCAACACTCACAATGATATGATTGTAATTTTATCTTTTTGTATGAGTATGTACATAAGTATCTTTGACACTTAATATATAGCCTTGGGCCTTTTCGCAAAAAGAAAATCAACAAAAAATGTCCATCCACTCCAACCTCACATGAAGAATTTTATGTTTTTCTTGTGCACAGTCAAATGATCCTACAATCTTGATTTGTCATGACATTCAATTTATGTGATTTCTCTTTCCTTGTTACAGTGTTTTGAAATTTTGGTGAATCAAAGAGGCAGCATAGGCCTAGTCCACAAGATTACAGGCCTAGAGATCCCTGGACACAGCCCGAGATGTCGATGTACCAAACCAATAGGGTGGTACCACCAGCGCCATGTCTGACCCGTATCGATTCCTATTAGGAATCGCCAACGGGCGACCGAATCAGGCCTAGTTTCCATTTGTTTTTCTTTCTTCATTATACTTTTGGTTCATTTTTTGTTTCTTTCTTTGTTTTCTTTGCTTTTGTTTTTGTTTCTTTGGCGGGTTTAATCAGTTTCCATTTTTAAGATATGAACATTTTTGTAAACTACATGAACAATCTTTTAGATTGTATAAACTTTTTTTGATTTCACATACCTTTCTTGGACACATGTGAGTATTTATTTAAAATATCACATACTTTTTGATGGAAATAAACAGTTTTTAACCAATGGGGACAGTTTTTTAATTGAATAAACACTTTATAAAATGTCACAAACATTTTCTTGGAATCGCTAGATTCTTTTATTAAATGTCACATACATTTTAATGGTACGAAACACTTTTTTAATTACACAAACATTTCTTTACATTATATACACTAGTTTTTTGCAAACATCACAAACACATTTTTGACACTCGTGAACATTTTTTAAAACATATCATACAGTTTTTTCAATGTATGAATTTTTTTTATTAGGTAATATTTTTACATAGTATAATCATCTTGAAATTTCAAATAATATTTAAAAATTGTAATAATTTTCTTTGAAAAGTGAACATAAAAAACAAAAAATAGGAAATGATCAAAGAAACCATAGAAAAATGAAAACAAGAAAAAAAAATGAACCCGAACTGGTTAAGTACCTTCTAGAAGGTTCCCAAAACCAGGATCTGTGAAGCTCTAAACCAGGCAGCTTTGTTAGTCGGTCGCCTCTCTAGGACTGTGCGTTTGCTCGACAAAGCGACATTGGGAGCGTCATATAGGATTTGCACCTATGTATGGACCTCCTATTCCCCGACCTACGCAAGGAACAGAGAAGAAACGAGCAGCCCCATTCCCCCTGGGTGGTAGCTTTGGGCCGGGCCATATGTGGGTCTCCCCTAATTTTTTTTTATTTTTTCATGTCTTTCCTAGAGAGCAATTAATTGAGGGGCAACCCTTGCGGGAGCCCCTCAAGGGCCACTTTGGGTCGGCTGAGAGGGCGTCACTTGGCTTGCTCTCAGCCGCCATCATGTGTCGCATTTTGGACACTCCCTCTGGATATTTGTTGTGTACGTATTTTCGGGTTTTAGACGAGGCTTTTTGGGTTTTCAATTTTTGCCCGGTCTCCCCTAGGTTATGGACCCCCAAAAAATTTGTGCCGAAAAACTCATTTTTTCTTCTTCCTCGAGAGGCACATATTTGCTTCTCGAGGAGGCACGTGTTTGCTTCCGCGAGAGGCACAACTCTTGAAAAAAATGTGATTTTTTACATCCACGATGGGCACAAATTTGCTACTCGTGGAGGCACAGTTTTGCTTCGCGCCTCTCAATAAAGAAAAACACACGTTCTTTTTCTTCCGTGCGAAGCACAAATTTGCTTCTCGGAGAGGCACAGTTTTGCTTCCACAATAGGCACAACTATGCCTCTCGAAAACGGAAAAAATGTGTTTTCTTTTAGTTTTGCAAGAGGCACAACTTTGCTTCTTGTGAAGGCACACATTTCTTTTTGCTAGAGGACCAAATGTGCCTCGCGGAAAGGGAAAAAGTGAGGGAAAATCGTGCTTCGGATCATTTTTTTTCTTTCTGGTTTTCTAGGGTTTTTCATGAAAAAAAGTTCGTTGAAACCTATTAACATGGGATCTAGTTTCGAGGATCTCGACGTTTGAAATCCAATTGTGAAAATGGTTCGTGATTTGGACACATGGTTCAAGAGATAAAATGGTTTGAATAAACGAAACTATGCAGAAAGGAAAACTCAGAGTTTGCGACAAATGGGAGTGACCTTTGCAAATGGTACCCCTTAACTAGTGATTTTGGCCTTTTCAGTTTTTTATTCATTGGAAAAGTTTGAGATTTCAAAAAGTTTTGAATTTCAGAATACGTTTCACAATTCAAAAAAAATCATGAGTTTGAAAAATGTTTATGGATTTTCAACAGATGTTCTTGAATTTCAAAAAGTGCAATAATTTCAAAAATGTTTGTGAATTTGAAAAAATGTTTTGAATATTAAAAACGTTTGTGAAGTTGAAAAATGTTCCTGGATGTCAAAAATTCATGAATTTGATAAATGCTCTCAATTGAAAATATGTTCATAATTTGAGAAATATTCCTGGATTTCAAAATATGTTTCACGAATTTGGGAGAAATATTCCAAATTTCATAAAAGCTCATGAATTTGAAAAATATTCTCGGATTTCAAAAAAGTTCTTGAATTTGAAAAATATTCTGAATTCATAATTTTTCAGTATTTTGAGAAATGTACCTGGATTAAAAAATTGATCAAGAATTTGAAAAATGTTCCAGATTTCAAAAAATAATTTTGAATTTTAAAAGATATTCCGACTTTCAAAAATTGTGCGCATTTGAATATTGTTCTCGTATTTCAGAAAGCAAAAAAGAAAAGTCAGAAAAGAAAACCGGTTAACCTTCCCTTAACCAGAAGGCGGGTCTCCCGAAAAAAATCTACCGCGGTTCTACTTCGCAGCATGCGACACAAAGCGAATAAGTGGGCCCGTCCAGAAATAAAGCAAGCGGCGAGAGTTATGGGTTTGGTGGCTATCCGCCGGCCTCGCGAGAAATAGGATTCACCGCCTGGTTGTGACAGAGAATTCTCCCAAAAGCTTTGAATCCTATGAACAATATAACTACTAGGATTCCCTAAGAAGAAGAATGTAACTGCTAGGATTGGAGGAACGGCTGAGACAACTATAGTTCAGTCCAAGATCCACGATTGCAGGTGGCAACAGTTTTCGTGCACGTGGAAGATGTTGACAAGGAAAGAAGAAAGATACCCGTTCAGAACACAACCTGTATTTCATTTTATTTTCTTGTCGATAATGTGCCAGGGCAGAGCAGAAATTACAGCAATCACATAGATTTCAATGAATCTGTTAAATGACTTCCAGTATACTTACAGATTAGTTTTTAGAAGCACGACTTTTTTAATCAGTGTCAGTTATAGTAACATCTTAACAAACTATACTTCAAATTGCAGTTGGGTTAACATGCAATCATTGCCTTGTGCTGTTTAACTGAAATAGCCAAGTTTTCAACAGACAAAGTATGTGCACCTGACACGCAGTCATGCTGGTCCAACTGGAAGGTTTTTACCAACAATGGACCACCCATCATGTTCAACAGTTACAATTTCTGCATATGCAAGAGTTATTACTGGAGTGGGGAATATACAGCAAACAGAGCATGAGCAATAACAGCCCGTCACCGAAGAACCAATCGAATCGTGTTTCTTTCTTTCTTTCGCGAGCCACCACCGTGGTCGGTAAAGAAGACACGGGGACCAAACTAGAAGGCGAGATCGTTCAGAATGGCTGTTCCGTATTTTCTCTTTTCCGAGCTACTGCAGAAGCTTGCAGCTGATTGTTCTGAATAAGTCTGCTCTTTGCAGTGGTGTTGACCTGTGGCTTGGCTTCTGTTCCTAGACTCAGGCACGTCATGCGTATGCTTCCCTTCGTATGTAGTTATCACAGCATGTGGTTCCTCGGAAGATCTCTCGATATGCTTCTTGACGTCGCATCCTTGGTAAGTGCACTTGTAATAGCTCCTACATGGACAGAGTAGGCACTCAGGTTCATGGACTCTTTTTTTGGAACTCAAAAACGTTATGGAGATATGGTTTTTCAATTTGGAATAAATTGTCTGTGCCAGCTGGGTCTTGTGAAAAATAACAGAAGATACACAGACAATTGATAAGCATGCACATTATTCATCACCACACTTTTTTCAGAATAAAAGAAGAAATGTATTCCTTGTTTCACCAACTATGTGTGTAACAGTCAAATGTGTACTCATTCAAATAAACCAGAGCAGCAGTTACAAAATATACTTAGATCAGCAGGAGGATCTTCATATCAGTTGAATTATAAGATAAGCAAGGCATGAATTCTTTGCCAAATAATTCCAAAGCCAATTCTATGTAGGATGGATATTGGCTGTCATTAACAAGCAGTATTAGCCTATCATGCTTTTTAAGCTTGTCAGGTGTATATTTCTCTTGAATGCAAATTTAAAGCCTTTTCCATGCATTGCTGCAAGACAAATGTCCCATGCGTGTGCAAGTGCAAGTGAGCCATGTGGAGTTGTCAATAACATCATGTTGATGCCAACAAAGTCAATAACAACATCAAGTTGATGCCAACAAACTTCATAGGCTCCAACATTAACCAATTAGTATTCAAGGCAGTTATCACATATACAATTGTAAATATGACACATTTTCTAAGATAAAATGGTAAAGAAAAAACTTCAAAGATTCAACAATAAAATGAGATGATGGGCTTACCTTGGGTGAGGATTTCCTCTCACCACTTTCTGTCCATACTTGCGCCACCTATAGCCGTCGTCCAAAAGATCAACATCGCTCGTTGTACTCACGATAATCTTTTGACCTGGTGCATTCCTGCCTCACGGAAATAATAACAGTAAGCTTAAAGATGCTAATTAGGAAGTCTGGATGAACTTAGCAAAGTTCCAAGTAAGGAATTTATGTTCAGCTGTAGGAAATACCTTTCATTTGCATCGGCATCACCATCATCTCCATCAACAGTTCTTATTTCACCATCGCCTTCCCGGATATCACTTAAACTAGATAATTGCTCATCCCCCTCTTCCTTCGTTGGCAATAAAACATCCGTCATCATTCCATTTGGCGTTATAGGTTTTCCATAATAACCTTGACAACCTAATTGTGATTTAGTTGAAGGCTCCTTGGCATCATTGAAATCCTTTAACTCATTCAATAAATCACCACAATCTTTAAACCTCTTTGAGGGGGGTTCATGGCAGTGCTGACCTCTATAAATTATTTTAATAATTCGTCCATCTGCAGAGTGCTCTACATTTTTCCTGACCGGGCAATTCAGGGTACATTTGTAATAGCTCCTTGGATACTTCCCACCCTTGACTGCCTTTTGTCCATACTTACGCCAGTTGTATCCATCATCAGCAGGTCTATCCAGAGTGATGGATGAACCTTGGAGTGCTTCCAGAACTCCAGTTGATCCAGTGTTGATACTGTCCAGAGTGGTGGATGAATCTTGGAGCACTTGTAAAACTCCAGTTGGTCCAGTGTTGACACTACCACTACCAGTGTGTGATGGCAAAGTCTGTCCCTGCATTGATGCCGCGCCTACGGAAGAACTGACATGCTGAGGTGTCAGCACTGAAGTTGCCAATGAGAAAGAAGAAGAGTTGTCCACTTGATCAAGTATACTGTATTTAGAAAAAGCTAGTTGAGGTCCAATCTTGTGATGCAATCCCGCCCCTTGTTTTTCCCGCAACTCTTTCTTTTGAGCTACTTGTGCTGCCAGCTGTGCTAGGTCTTGTTCATGGAACACATCAAAGTTGTCCTGCAAACGAAGAAAATATAAATACCAGTTATAATAGAACATACTATTGCAATAGTAACTAAAAAACCATATAAAGCAACTCAAAAAACACAGTGCAATAGTAACGAAACCATGTAAATGAATTCAACAAAAACATACCGGTCTTAACAAAACATAGTACAACAGTAACAAAACATAGCATAGGAAAAGTGGACATCGACGTGGTATCAACAAATTTTGACGTAAAGGAATCAAGGGCAAGCACCATGGTTTCTAATATTATTGAAGGGAAACCATCAGGCTCCTTAACGCTTTCAAAATGGAAGACGAAGGTGCCACCATTAACGCTCTAACTACACCGACCACAAATCTACTCCACCATCTCAAGAAACATCAGGTTCTTGGAAAGATCGCCCGCCCACTGCCTGTCCTTGTCGATTGCGATGTTTACTTATCTATAACTCGACCTGTTAGCACGTGAATTTTTTTGGGGCGCCCAGCACATCAATGTGCAGCTGTCGGCAAGGCAGAAGGCACACATCGGCGACCTTGACAGTTACCAATCCACGGGCCGAGGCCGACCCGCGATTAACTTGACGCACGTGCAATGCAGGCCATTCGTCCCTGGAGAAGCTGGTCCCCTTCCGGCTGGGGCGTCCAGGGCCAATAATTCCAAGGAGCACGGGCCACAGGGCGCGGAAATTCCGATCCCGCGGCTTAAAATTAGCAATGCGGAGGGAGCTGGATTGGCAACAGAAACAACAGAAGGAAAATCTACCCTGTTCATGCCGATTCAGTATCTGTACTGCTACTGGTATAATTACTACTAATTGGTACGTCGAGCTATGTCAGATACAGTAGTTACGTGCTGTTAATCAATCAAACAGGACAGCAGCAGCGAGCGTGCGATTAGGGGGAGGAAGCTGAGATGAGATCGGTCGTCGGTACCTGGGGGTACCCGAGGAGCGCGGTGCCGCAGAGCGGCGGAGGGGAAGGGAGCTGCGCGAGGGATCCACCGAAGAAGCCCAGCGCCGAGGCGGCTGGCGACGGCTGGTCGTCGGGGAAGAGGCTGTCGAGCGCGGGCGGGGCCCAGAGGCCGCCGCCGTCGCCGATGCCTGACCACTGCCCCGCCGCCATGGGTGAGTAGAGTACGCGCGCGTCGGCGACGAGCGCGTGGGCTGGAGGGAGGGAGATGCTTTCTGCTGTCAGATTGGTTGCCAAGTGGGACGCTCGGTATTTATTCCCCCGAACGGGAGTGCGAGTGGGCGAGGCAACAAAAATCGCAATGAGGGCGCTGAATGATTGGTGGCTCGTGCCACGTCGTCCAAGCGGAGGCGAAGCCCCGCGGAAGGAAAAACCCGGATATTTTCCGAAACCGTAACGGAGATATTTGTCCACCCCTTCTAAACATGGTAAGCCGAACCAACAGACCGAACCCAAATATCTGTGTGTAACTTTAGGGCGCAAATTTAGGTGCAAATGCGTCGGCGCGGACACGAAGCGGACATGATCTGGTTTGGGTCGGCGCGTTGAGCCTCCTCTTTTGTCCGCGCCGACCCAAACAAACAGCGGCAGATGAAATGGATCGCTCCATTGGAGTTGCTCTTATAGTTCAAGTATTTTACGCAGTGCTTTCTCCCACACAGGTCTCCCACGCAGCGCTCTCTCCCACTCAGCGCTCTGCGCGGTAGCCAATCCGGCTCCGGCGGCCACCAGCCTTGCGCCGTGCTCCGCTCCGGGACCGGCAGCCACCCCACCCCACCCCTTCCCCCGCCGCCTCGCCATGGCTTCGCGGGTTTCTCTGTCCGGCTCATCCTCGTCGGAGCTTTCCTCCCCTACTGCCTCGCCGGCGCCGTGTCTGGAGCATGCTCGTCCTGCCGTCCCCCCCGCCCCCAGCTCAGATCCATCGTCGTGACGCCGGTGGTGGGCACGGCCTTCGGTCCGCTGGTCCAGGGCGGGGCTGCAGGTCCTTCTCATTCACCCCAGGTGGAGGCGGTTTGGATGATAGGAGTCGCCGGCCGAGAGGGCCGCCTGCTCGCCCTGCCTTCCCACAGAGGCGCCGCCATGCTCAGCGCGTGTTGGCTGTGCCCCGTTCGCCGCCGGAGTCCAGGATGCCGGCGGAGCTTTTTGGCTGCTGCTACAACTGTGGCAAGGATGATGGCCACATCTCAGCGGAGTGCCGGAACCCCAGCTTCTGTGTTCGGTGCCGGGGGGAAGGGTGTAAAGCCCCGGATCCGATGCGCCAGGTGTCTGCTAGTTATTTGCTGTCATTGCCATGTCATTTGCTTCCGTGTTGCATTTTATCATGTCATCATGTGCATTCCATTACATACGTGTTCGTCTCATGCATCCGAGCCTTTTCCCCGTTGTTCCTTTTGCAATCCGGCTCTCCTATGCCCTCCGGCGTTCCCCTTTCGTCTCTCGTTGTGTGCGGGTGTTAAACTTTTTTGGAATGGCCCGAGGCTTGCCAAGTGGCCTTGTTATAGCACCGGTAGACCGCCTGTCAAGTTTCGTGCCATTTGGAGGTCGTTTGATACTCCAACGGTTAACCGGGTAACTGCAAAGGCCTCTTTTGTGTTGCAGCCCAACACCCCTCCAAAGTGGCCCAAAAACCCAGCAAACTCCCCTCCATGCTCTCGGTCGTTCGATCACGATCGCGTGGCCGAAAACCGCTCCTCATTTGGACACTCCTAGCTCCCTCTACCTATATATTTGTGCCCCTCCCAGATTTTCGCGCAGATGAAACCCTACCCCTTTTCCCCACCGCGCCACCGGACAAAAATCCCCGCCACCGGACATGTCCACCGCCGCTGCCACATCACCCGGACCAATCACGATGTGCCACCTCAGCTCCGCCGCCTCCCGCTGAAGGAAATATGCCCTAGAGGCAATAATAAAGTTATTATTTATTTCCTTATTTCATGATAAATGTTTATTATTCATGCTAGAAATGTATTAACCGGAAACATGATACATGTGTGAATACATAGACAAACATATAGTCACTAGTATGCCTCTACTTGACTAGCTCATTAATCAAAGATGGTTATGTTTCCTAACCATAGACATGTGTTGTCATTTGATTAATGGGATCACATCATTAGGAGAATAATGTGATTGACATGACCCATTCCGTTAGCCTAGCACTTGATCGTTTAGTATGTTGCTATTGCTTTCTTCATGACTTATACATGTTCCTGTAACTATGAGATTATGCAACTCCCGTTTACTGGAGGAACACTTTGGGTACTACCAAACGTCACAATGTAACTGGATGATTATAAAGGAGTACTATAGGTGTCTCCGAAGGTACATGTTGAGTTGGCGTATTTCGAGATTCGGTTTTGTCACTCCGATTGTCGGAGAGGTATCTCTGGGCCCTCTCGGTAATGCACATCATTATAAGCCTTGCAAGCAATGTGACCAATGAGTTGGTTACGGGATGATGCATTACGTAACGAGTAAAGAGACTTGTCGGTAACGAGATTGAACTAGGTATTGGATACCGACGATCAAATCTCGGGCAAGTAACATACCGATGACAAAGGGAACAATGTATGTTGTTATGTGGTTTGACCGATAAAGATCTTCGTAGAATATGTAGGAACCAATATGGGCATCCAGGTTCCGCTATTGGTTATTGACCGAGAATAGTTCTAGGTCATGTCTACATAGTTCTTGAACCCGTAGGGTCCGCACGCTTAACGTTACGATGACAGTTATATTATGAGTTTATGAGTTTTGATGTACCGAAGGAGTTCGGAGTCCCGGATGAGATCAGGGACATTACGAGGAGTCTCGAAATGGTCGAGACATAAAGATCGATATATTGGACGACTATATTCGGAGTTCGGAAAGGTTTCGAGTGATTCGGGTATTTTTCGGAGTACCGGAGAGTTACGGGAATTCGCCGGGGAGTATATGGGCCTTATTGGGCTATACGGGAATAGAGGAGAGAGGCTAAAAGGAAAGAGGCCAGCGCCCCCCCTCTGGTCCGAATTGGACAAGGGGGGCAGCCCCCTTTTCCTTTTCCCTCTCCCCTTCTTTCCACTTCTCCTACTCCAACAAGGAAGGAGGGAGTCCTACTCCCGGTGGGAGTAGGACTCCCCTTGGCGCGCCCCCTCCTAGGCCGGCCGCACCTCCCCCTCCCTCCTTTATATACGGGGGCAGGGGGCACCCCATGACACACAAGTTGATCTACGGATCGTTCCTTAGCCGTGTGCGGTGCCCCCCTCCACCATATTCCACCTCGGTCATATCGTCGCGGAGTTTAGGCGAAGCCCTGCGCCGGTAGAGCATCATCATCGTCACCACGTCGTCGTGCTGACGGAACTCATCCCCAAAGCTTTGCTGGATCGGAGCCCGGGGATCGTCATCGAGCTGAACGTGTGCTGAACTCGGAGGTGCCGTACGTTCGGTACTTGGATCGGTCGGATCGTGAAGACATACGACTACATCAACCGCGTTGTCATAACGCTTCCGCTTACGGTCTACGAGGGTACGTGGACAACACTCTCTCCTCTTGTTGCTATGCCATCACCATGATCTTGCGTGTACGTAGGAAATTTTTTGAAATTACTACGTTCCCCAACAGTGGCATCCGAGCCTGGTTTTATGCGTAGATGTTATATGCACGAGTAGAACACAAGTGAGTTGTGGGCGATACAAGTCATACTGCTTACCAGCATGTCATACTTTGGTTCGGCGGTATTGTGAGATGAAGCGGCCCGGACCGAATTACGCGTACGCTTACGCGAGACTGGTTTCACCGTTACGAGCACTCGTGCTTAAAGGTGGCTGGCGGGTGTCTGTCTCTCTCACTTTAGCTGAATCGAGTGTGGCTACGCCCGGTCCTTGCGAAGGTTAAAACAACACTAACTTGACGAACTATTGTTGTGGTTTTGATGCGTAGGTAAGAACGGTTCTTGCTAAGCCCGTAGCAGCCACGTAAAATTTGCAACAACAAAGTAGAGGACGTCTAACTTGTTTTTGCAGGGCATGTTGTGATGTGATATGGTCAAGACGTGATGCTATGTTTTATTGTATGAGATGATCATGTTTTATAACCGAAGTTATCGGCAACTGGCAGGAGCCATATGGTTGTCGCTTTATTGTATGAAATGCAAACGCCCTGTAATTGCTTTACTTTATCACTAAGCGGTAGCGATAGTCGTAGAAGCAATAAATGGCGTAACGACAACGATGCTATGATGGAGATCAAGGTGTCGCGCCGGTGATGATGGTGATCACGACGGTGCTTCGAAGATGGAGATCACAAGCACAAGATGATGATGGCCATATCATATCACTTATATTGATTGCATGTGATGTTTATCCTTTATGCATCTTATCTTGCTTTGATTGGCGGTAGCATTTGAAGATGATCTCTCACTAATTATCAAGAACTATTCTCCCTGAGTATGCACCGTTGCGAAAGTTCTTCGTGCTGAGACACCACGTGATGATCGGGTGTGATAGGCTCTACGTTCAAATACAACGGGTGCAAAACAGTTGCACACGCGGAATACTCGGGTTAAACTTGACGAGCCTAGCATATACAGATATGGCCTCGGAACATGGAGACCGAAAGGTCGAGCGTAAATCATATAGTAGATATGATCAACATAATGATGTTCACCATTGAAACTACTCCATCTCACGTGATGATCGGACATGGTTTAGTTGATTTGGATCACGTGATCACTTAGATGACTAGAGAGATGTCTGTCTAAGTGGGAGTTCTTAAGTAATATGATTAATTGAACTTAAATTTATCATGAACTTAGTCCTGGTAGTATTTTGCAAATTATGTTGTAGATCAATAGCTTGCGTTGTTGCTTTCATATGTTTATTTCGATATGTTCCTAGAGAAAATTGTGTTGAAAGATGTTAGTAGCAATGATGCGGATTGGATCCGTGATCTGAGGTTTATCCTCATTGTTGCACAGAAGAATTATGTCCTTAATGCACCGCTAGGTGACAGACCTATTGCAGGAGCAGATGCAGACGTTATGAACGTTTGGCTAGCTCAATATGATGACTACTTGATAGTTTAGTGCACCATGCTTAACGGCTTAGAATCGGGACTTCAAAGACGTTTTTGAATGTCATGGACCATATGAGATGTTCCAAGAGTT